GGTGTTAATAAAAATGACCGTTCTTTAGAGCGTCGAGGCCTTTAATTTCGCGCAGCATCACCATGTATATGTGAAACTAATTTTAAGACAACCATCAAAAAACGACGTCATTGCCTTTGTGGCTTTGTTTCTGAGCTATTAATTGTTGATTATCGCGATGGATCATACTACTCAAACCAAGCGCTGCTCATTTGATACACGGAATAGCATCTTCATATGTCCACTTACCTTGCAGTTGATGTGACGATACAACATCTCGTGCTACTGCCAATCATTTTTTCCAAAACTTCCTGGAACATCCAATACGAATAGTTAGACGACATAAAACCTGCCGACTCACTAAAATCTACAAGGGCTTATCAACAACCGCCCTACCAGATTGTTAAGTAGAGTGTCTATGCCCTTTTACCCAACTTCTCTTGTAACTGTCATCAACACGCACGCATACAAGTATTGCGATTTTCCTGATCAGGGAGTTCATGTATATTAGCTACGAAGAGACGCGCAGAAGCATACAGGATGTGACCAAAATGTTGGAGGACCCGGAAATGAGAGACTCGTGAGGTGATTTGAAACAAGTTTTTCCTCAGCAAAAATGTTATCCGAGGTTCCATTAACGAGATATTAACGAAAAACCCCGACCAATTAGAGTGCGAGTCTGCCGGCCGAGCTCCCGCGGAAGCGTTAGCTACCAATCGCAGCGCGTACCCAACGCTACCACGGAAGCTCGGCCGGCAGACTCGTGCTCTGATTGGTCCGGGTTTTTCGTTAGTATCTCGTTAACAAAGCCTCGGATAACATTTTTGCTAAGGAAAAAGTTGTTTCAAATCATCCCAGGAACCCCTCATTTCGGGCAGTTGAAACTATTTTGATACACCCTGTATAAATCAATTATGTGGATATACCGTTTCGACCAGTAATGAAAATACACGTGGCCTGTCTCTACGATTATGTTCGAGGAGATGGGGTTATGGGGATTGAATCGCTCGTATTCGGATACCTTCCGCTTGCTGTCTTTTCAGCAACGCATTGTAGACACTTCGAATGTCTACTATGGGTGTGTTTGTATCTTACAGTTGTGTGCTACTTTTGGATACTTGCAAAGTTTGTCCTGTGTGATTCTGTGTTTCTATTTTTAGTGTGATGTACTACTATGTGTCTTTGCACCTCTGTGTTTGTATAATTGCATGTTTGAATAAATTGCGGTGCCAGTAATACACATGAACACTCTCACAGCATGCTCGCATACTGACAGTTACAAGAGAATTTGTGTAAAAAGGCATTCATCCTGTCTACTTAACAATCCCATGGGGCGGTTTTTGATAAGACCTTATGAATATTAGTGAAAAGGAAAAGGTTTTATGTCATCGAACTATTCGTACTGGATGTTCCAGAAAGTTTTAAAAACAATTGTTCCAACGGCACGAGACGTCGTATGTCGCCACTTCAGCTGCAAAGTATGTGGGACTGTCAAGGTGGTATGGCACTGACGGTCATCGATCGAACCCATGACCCAGATAGCACATGACGCCTTGAAAACGTCCATTTTACGGTTATTTTAGGTCTAAGGCGCCTTTAAGCCGCCTTTAAGACGTCATGTGCTATATGGGGAATAAGTTGAGCAGTACGTAGTTGGAGTACATACCCAGATAGCACATGACGCCTGATGACGCCTTGAAGACGGCTTAAAGGCGCCTTAGACGTAAAATAGCCGTAAAATGGACGTTTTTAACGCATCATGTGCTATCTGGATACTATAGGGTGATTCTCTCGCTGCGTAAATCAAAGACTGTATCGTTCTAAAGAACCGCCGCGTCGGCACGTGTCATCTGTCGATTGGTTCTTTTGTCGATAACGCAGCAGTTCTTTAGAGTGGTACGTCCTTTAATTTGCACAGCGAGAGAATCACCCTGTATATACCCGTCGCGTCAGGCGTATTCGCCCGCTTCTTTAATAACACTGTCGAACACAATTTAACCTTAGTTCTGTTTTGCAATATCCACTGGGTGGTTCTTGCAGAGTTTCTCGCCCTGAACATGAATCCGCAAGCAAAATTGCTCTATCATCCTCAGTTTTTAGAAAAACACGAATTTTATAAAAACGCACGATTTCGTGTAAAAATGACGTATTACCTGACAATTAAAAATGCTAGAGAGTTCAGTTTAGTCTTCAAAGATGGTGGTGAATTTCATGATTATATGAGTGTATACAGTTATAAACTTTTGTAATTTTGAATGATTGTAAATGGACGTCAAAGTTTAAAGAAGAGTCGCTTCGCGTACTTTCTTCGCATTATTTTTGCATTCTTACGAAAAGTTCTTTATCCAGCACGAATTCGTTACACAGTATCGGATTCTGCAGAGAGTTCTAAATAAGGAATCATCCAGGAAAAGTATTGGAACAGTTTTGTATTCGGAGATGTCGACAAAATATCCGTCAGGAACGGGTACACGGTGATTTGTCGCCATGTGGCCATTACTCGCTTGCCTGGACTTGTGCAAGATACAAATAGGTTTAACAATGTAGTCCGTTACATTTATAGAAGTTTCTATGGCTTTGCTTATAATTCTTTATTAATTAAAAAATATATACTTTTTTAATTTATCTTTGTTTCTTACAATTTTTTCGAAATTGTTGTATCTCCTACATGAAAGGAAAACGCGAAACTTCTAAATGATTGCCCAGTTGGTACCTTTTAGTATTAATAGGATGCACACGATATTTACGTTTACTGCGCAGACTTTTTTTAATATAAAGCAGACTTTTTTATACTTTTTTGCAGGACGTGAAGATAATAATAATTCTTTCAAAGAGAGATATTATTTGAGCAGCGTGTATCGCGCTTCGAACGATGCTCTTATAGCTTCTATCGCAACTCCAACATGAACGTACCCTTCGAGTTAAGAGGATAATCGAGTAAAATCGACTTTGTGTGCATCTAAATAATTATTTAAATGTTTAAAGGCTCAGAGACTCATTTTCCCTTATCCGATCGAACTCGACCTTACTTTAAAAAATTGTCATCAAGAGTATATAGGAGTCACCTTGGTATGCATGCACTGAACATCGAAATTATGTAAAACTGAAATAGATCGGGAAAAATTTTTCATAATTCCGTGATTGGTATCCAAGAATACATAAAAAAAAACATCAAACATACATATAACATGTATGTGCTTATTGGACAAATCTAACAGTGTTGATCTAACATATGCAAAGTCTTTCCAATTTAAGAATAACCTCGTTCAACGCATAGGATGAATCTAAGAAAGCGTAGCAACGACCGAACCCCCACTTAACACTATTTTCGTTGGCATCGGTAATGCCTCGCGCTTGCGCTGTACCGTTAAGTGGTAGGGGACCGACAGAGATAGCGACCTACGAGCAATCGCAGGCGTCGGAGCGATAGACGGTAGTGGGGGCTGTACAGATCGGTCAAAAGCTGGTCCGAGCGTGAGAATATTCTTAAGTTGGACAGAGTACACAGGATATAACAAAAATTTTTGAGGACTCGGAAATGGGAAACTCGTGAGGTAATTTGAAACAACTATTTCCTTAGCAAATATGTTATCCGAGGCTTTGTTAATGAGATATTAATGACAAATCCAGACCAATCAGAGCGAGTTCCCGCGGTAACGTTGGCTACGCGCTGCGATTGGTAGCCGACGTTACCGCGGGAACTCGGCTGGCGGACTCACGCTCTGATTGGTCGGGGGTTTTCGTTAATATTTCCTTAAGAAAGCCTCGGATAACATTGTTGCTAAGGAAAAACTTATTTCAAATCACCTCACGGGCCTCTCATTTCCGGGTCCTCCAACATTTTTGTTACACCCTGTATATACATATGTTCTAAGAGTTGACGCAGGCGAAGAATGGCGGCAAAACACCGTGCACACGTTGCCGATGGATATTTTCTCGACCTGTATGAATTAAAAGAGTGCAGCAAATTTGTACTGGATTATGAACTTTTCGTAACACTGCAAAAACAACGCGCAGAAAGTAACCAAATCGGCTCTCTTTTTAGATTTTGATAGTCATTTACAACCATTCAAGATCACAAAATTTAATAACTGTATAAATTGATATATTCAAGAAACTCTTCTATAACTTTTTAGACTAAATTGAATTTTTCAGCGTTTTTAGTTTTTACGTAATACGTTATTTATGCCAGAAATTGTGCGTTTTTAGAAAAACACATGTTTTCCAAAAACTGAGGGTGACAGAGCAATCTGCTGCCGGATTCGTGCTTCAGACGAAAAAATCTACAACAGTCACCCAATGGATTGTTGAACAGGGTAATCAGAGAATGTTGTAGTAAACTTTGTTCTTGCTAATTAATTATTATGCAAGTTCTAGTATAATTCACGGTTATACTGGGGGATTCTAGAATGTAACAGCACGCCATATTTTCTACCACGGTAGGAAAAAGAAGGTGTACCTTTACACTGAATGCCGAATAACTGAAAATTAACACATTTAAAACCGCCCGAATCATTGATACTACATTATCAACCGACCTTTGAACCATTAAAATATTTAATTTAAAAAAATTTTTAAAACAATATCGCCCATCTACTACAAGTCATGATTAAAAGAAATAACTCGTAGTCGAACATGATTTACATATAATGATCCTATCGCAACTCATAAAATGAGTTATAGATAAAACAAACGCGTATGTGGTCATTCTGATACAAATAATGAAAGAAGTCATACCTACGTGAAGATAACCCAAATATAATTTCATTCTGTAATAATTGATAGAACATCGGAACATTCGGGGGATCATTTTCTGTTAAAAGATAATTCAATGTAACGCGAAATTTAGTGCCACCGTAAATATTTAAAACTTAAATACATGTACAGGAACATTCTAGTGTAGTTTTCTTAATGTCTATGTTCTTCCTATATGAATATTTTTGTCCCTCGCTACATTTTATATATTATGTGAGTTATACTAGAGACTCAGAATTGTATTTATTAACATTTATTATACTTACCATCGTATTCAGGAAAATAATCAACAAGATGGGAATACATAATCTTCTCTTCGAGCAGATCTTTTTTGTTTAGGAACAAAATGACAGAGGAGTGTTGAAACCAAGGATATGTGATAATTGTTTTGAATAACGCCTTACTTTCTTCCATCCGATTCTGAAAATGACACAGATAATTTTCAGTTATTATAACTTAAGTTTTACAAAGTAAAATTTTGTTACTTTCGTAATTACGATTACCTCATTTTCTGATTCAAACAAGATTTGATCATATTCACTTAAAGCTACTAAAAAGATAATGGAAGTGACATTCTCGAAACAGTGAATCCACTTTCTTCTTTCTGACCTCTGTCCACCAACATCTACCATCCTGCAAGATAGATTGACATTAGATATATTTAGTATGTAATAATACACAAAATCATTTTGTTTAACATTATATCATTCATTATAATGTACAGTTTACAAGAAAGTCTTACTGTTTTATGTAATTGCATTGAAATAATTAAAAAGTGACATTTACAAAGTTCAATTCAGTGAAGATAAACTGCATGAGAAAACATGCAAACAATAAGCTGTTTAAAGCAAAAGAATAATACAAAATGAAACAAATAAAAACAAAGAGGAGCTAAGAGAAGACCATAATAAAGTAGAAAGTAGTACTATCCTAATTTTCAAATAATCAGTTGTTCATATAGTTTTTACTTTTTCCATAGAAATTCCAATTACTATCTACTATTATACTAACTATTTTATACCATTTTAACTACAAACCACTACCTAATCACCACTAAGATAATTATAGCTAGTAATTACCCAGTCAGCTAAACCTGCAAAGCCAAATTTTGTCCAATGCCTGTTATAAAGTTATGGCTACAAGTTTGATGCAAATTAGCAGCAAATTGGCAACAACATATGCAGCAAATTGGCTTGCGCAAACCTTGTTCCGGTTTTGCCCACAATTTGACATAGGTCATGTTACAAGACTTTCTGCCAATTTGCTTTACGAGTTTGTCAGCTGGTGTTGCTTGCAAAACCCAAGCCAAATGCGGAAAAGAGATGGCTATGATTTTTTACACAACTTTTGTCATTTATTGCTGGCAATTTGCTTGAAACTTGTGCACACTTGTTATCAGAGTATGTACAATGTCGTGGTATTCAAGGAAATACGTGACTGGGTGTGTAATAACAATCAGACGTGGGCATAAATTATTTAGAAAAAAAAAGAAAAATACCATTTCAAGTAATGAATTGTTATTAATAAACTGTAATGTAACATTAGTAGGTACCCAGGTAGCCAAACCTGCAAAGCCAAATTTTGTCTAATGCCTGTTATGAAGTTATGGCTACAAGTTTGATGCAGGATTTTCTATGAACAACTTGCGCAAATTGGCATCAAATTTGCAACATATGCAGCAAATTGGCTCGCCCAGACTTCGTTCCGTTTTTCCTCCAATTTGACGCAGGTTATGTTGCAAGACTTGCTACCAATTTGCTTTACCATTCTGTCAACTGGCGTTGCTTGCAGAACCCAAGCCAAATGCGGAAACAAATGGCTATGGTATTTTAGACAACTTTTGTCATTATTTGCTGGCTATTTGCTCGAAACTTGTACACAACTGGTTATCAGGGTACATACCAACAAGAAATATGCTCCTTAAAAATACTTTTTTGTTTCTATAAACTAATATAAAGTAATAATAACTAAGAATTACAAACTTGAGCAACTACATTAATAAAGATGGCTCTCGTTTAAATATTTATTACGAATATTTTTTTGTGATTTTATTATATTATCAATATTTTCTATTTCAAACTGTTTTCTAAAATTCACACGTTACAATTTCTATATTTCAAAATTCATACTTGATCGATTCTAATATTTATATTCCCTAATTTCAAACCACCTTTTTCATTAGTTCCGCATAATAAGTTTCTAAAATTACTATTTGAGCCAAACTCTATAAAATAATTTAATTTAATACTTAATTATACTAACATAATTACTCAGTACATTATATTTATTCGATTATTGCATTGAATCGTATAACGTTGCTTTTTATTTGCACAGTGATTATAAACCAAGTTTATTCTAACAATGCCCAGATCTGATAGGAGTAAATTTCGTCTGAATAATAATACGTATAAAAGAAATTTGGAAATTTTATGCGTATTGAAAACTCACTCAAGATACTCTCGGGTACTCAAATCCATTATTCCGTTAGTTAGTACGTAATATACTTCTAAGGAGTAGACTAGAGTGGTCAAGATTCAAGTAATGTGTGTTAGTACCTAAATATGATGGAGTCCAGATCAAACGGATATTCTATAATGCCAGTAGTGGGAGCTCGAGCCCGAAGAATGTCTTGTTCAGTAGGAAGGAAGTCGGGCTTTTCGATACGCTCTAGGTCACTAAGATAACTGCAAAACAAACGAAGCCACAGTCTGATAGTGCATGCCATGCGTGTATTAAAGGTGAGTATGAGGAGAGGAGTAATCGCAAAAACAGCTCACATGCTCGCCAGCTCCTTGCCTGCAAGAATTCTCGATAATAGAAGGTTCATTGATTTCGTTTTCGAGTTTTATGGCACACGAATCCCAGATAGTAACAAATTCTACTTATAGGGTAGTAAAATCTTTCTTTCTACACAATTATATATGAATAACTTATAGGGGAAAATATTTATGTACTTTCCTTCGGATTGAAAAAGAAATAAGTTTCTGTTGGGAATGATTAGCTTTTAATGATTCTATATGAAGAAAGCAAGTTCTATCGTATTTCGAAAAATAATCGTAAATTTTTCAGCTTCTTGCGTTCCATGAATTAACTTTTCTATTAGAAATTTTCATGATAGATTGTACCATAGCTAACCTATGTCGAACTATACGGATATACAATACTTCGTCGGTCTAATGCAACTTTAATTTCAAAGTGCCCGCAAATAAAACATCAGGATCTGAAAGATAAAAGATCAGGGAATACGGGCATGTTTTTTTAAAATTTTTAAATTTATGACATAAGTGTCAAGTTTGCAAAACAAAAATATTTTTAATATTCTTGCATTACAAAAATAATTTTACGTAGGAAACAGAAAATTCATTTCAAAGAACGATCTTTTATGATCAAAACGAAAAAAGAAGCAAGTTCTTATCTTTAATAGTTACTGAGATAAATATTCTTTTGTGATGGTAGGTTTCGTAAGAATCGGTGAAAATTGCCATATTTGAGAGTCTGTATGTTTTAAACAATTCCGAAACCAACAAAATGATGACTTAAACCCCCCCTATTTTCACATCAAGTATAACATATTACAATTTGAACAAAATCCCAGACATCGTGTAGAAAAGTAATCCGATTGGCGTAGAATGACCCATATACAGGAATTAATCAATATTTTTTGAGTAGGCGATATTAGTTACATTTCTTTTGCATGTCTTATATTTTTGGAGTCCCAATTAAAAATTTGTCACTTTCAACGGTTTTAACTGACGTTATATGAAACGTAAATAATTTCTCTTTACTCTGAGACAAATCACATGCACAAATATAAATTATTACCGAGTTGACAGTGATTTAACTTTTGCTACGCGATATTAGGTACCTCCTTTCTTTAAATGTAAAATCTGACTACTAAATTTTACATACTTCGTTAAAAATGACAATAATTAGAACGTAAAATCTACCCTTTATCGCGACACACAATTAATTACAGAAACTTCATTATTCCTCTATAATAATGCGAAAGGTAGTAATGATAATTAGTGTAAAGTTTTAAACAACTATTTATTTTTTAGCAACCATATCGAAGTTGGGATCAATACTTTGACGAATAAGATCTACAATCCCATAAATTTGCATTAGTATTACAGATACTTAGAACACAGTCTAACAATAGTGCAGAATTTGTTTTATACAGCTTGGTATAGTTGAAAATTTCTAGTCTATCGTGGACCATAAAGCCGGAATATGCCAACGAACCTTTTGAAACGTCAATGAGAAAGAAAAAGAAACGGAAGTGATGATCTTCATTGTACAAAAATTAGATCGGTGAGTCACAACGGATGCAGGCACAATGCAGAAAAAGTCCGATGAAAAGTAGTTGACAGGCACATGCATCTTCCCCCTTTCCTTTGCGCGGCCAGACGTACCTAAATCGAATCTCTTCCAAGTCAAAAGGATATTCAATTATACCGGTAGTGGGCACTCTCACACGAAGAATGTCCTGTTCTGTGGGGAGGTAGTTTGGTGCCGCGACTCGATCTATCTCCATTAGGTAACTGAAACATTATCTTCTCAATACCTGATACGCGAGAGGATACAGAGCACTTCTGATACGTACATAGAATCTTGAATAAGTGACGCATATTCGGACGAGAAAATGATCTTTATTTATAACCGAACATTTGTACAGAGTGTACAAAAATGATTCAATCGAATTTCCGGAAAATACAGAATGCGAAAATAATATACTGGATCAAATATTAAATACCTCTATAACTAAATGATACGAGAGTTTTTAATGGTCGATAAAAATTTGTGTGAGTAACGGCGCTCATGGTTGCTGATCCTTTAATACTTGCTAAAACGATAGATAGACTGACCCATTGAATGGTCATGCATCTGTGATTAATAATATCGTTTTCTTTTTTCAGCTCAGAACTGATGAAATAGCTAAGATGGTCTGTCATAGTAGTCTAAGGTAGACATACCTGATTTTAACTGATAAAATATTGCGGGCACCATTACGCATCGGTAAGTCATTGTGTTACTACACCATTTCCTGTCAGGAAACGTTATTATGCAAGAAAAAGAAACATCAATAATAACAAAACCGTTTCTTTGTAAGCTATTCGACGTTATTAAAATGTACCAAGACGTACATACAGGGTGTCCCACCTAACTCTGCCACCCTTAATTATTCTCTTATTTGTCAGGGTACACAAAAATGGTTCGGCAGAAAGTTAGTGTATTTTAGGGGGCAAATTAGGCTATGAGAATGAAGGTCATCGTAAGGTCACATCTTCTGAGATTTTTCTAATGGTAATGTTTTTTTAAACGGAATGTCCTATTTTCTTGTTTCCCATTACAAAGACGAGATCAAAACGTATCCAACAATGTATCACACTATGGGGTGACAACACTTTGAACATACACTAAAATAATAAATAATAATTATGGCGTTCATTTTGTTTCTACAATTAGTCATTTTCTCTGAGCTTCCATCTCAACCAGTTACGTGCGAAATTTTCAGCCCAAGGTCATTTAAAGATAATAGTGTGATACATTGTTGGATACGTTTTGATTTTCTCTTTGCAATGGCAAACAAAAAAATAGGGCATTCCATCAAAAAAAACGTTATCAGTAGAGAAATCTCAGAATTTATTACCTTGAGATGACCTTTAATCTAAGAGCCTAATTTGCCCCCTAAAATACACTAACTTTCCCCCGAATCATTTTTTTGTAAGAGAATAATTAAGGGTTGCAGAGTTAGGTGGGACACCCTGTATATGTATAAAACAATTTATCATTTTTTTTTTTACGAATGATTATTACATGTTATTGAACTTTGTTCTATATATTTTTTTGCACATCCCATCTATACAACACATTCTTGGATAAAAATTTCGTGAATAATATCCTATTATGAAAATAATCGCAGCACCTAAATGTTCGCATATCGTTTCTGTGCTCTGTTATATCGATCACACGAAATCCACAGCCGTGTACACGTGTTCGACGCTCGGTTTAGCAGGCGATGCGTCGCAAGTCACGTCAACCACAAATTATAACCGGACTGTGTTATCTAGTCGAATGTTCGTGAAAGAAAAACAGAAAGTACGCTATCCTCGAAGGGAGAAATGTGTGACAGAGGCAAAGAAAGGTCTACTTACTACTTAGCAGAGTCTGTGAGCTGATATTCTCGCCTGCGATCGTAACAGTCTTGGATACCAGCATCTGCCCATAAATCCTTGATTGCTTCAACATATGGGCTTTCGAATGTTGTCACTGTCTCAAAATCCACGCTTCGCACGAGTTCCGCTTTTTCCTGCAATAAAACACGAGAACATGTCGCATTCAAGTGTCCTAATTACGTGAATAAGCAAAATCGATAGGGTAAAGTAGCCTAATATAATACCCCAGCCTATCTCCGTTACGGAGAAGTCTTGAACGTCGCAAACAATTTCAAAAAAGGCACTACAAGGAAACGCGTAAAACGTGATAGTTTAACTGATGAGTGTGAAGAAGACATTTTTCTGAATGATGAAAGTGATAACGAAGAAAATTATGATGCAGGATGCTTGTTTTGTACAGGACTTTATTTTTCAGATGTACACGGTGAACAACGGGTTCAGTGTATCACATATTACCAGTGGGCCCATGAAGACTGAGGTGCAGACGCGATTAATTTTATATGGCCAATGTGCGACAAAAGACAGAGAAAATAAATTTTGACAAGATGAAACCTGGGTCTCATATTAGGGGACCACTTTTTGAATTCATGTTTTTGCATACTTTTCATTTTTATTTTATTATAATGGAACTCTATCTGTTTTGTTATAATTTCTACTATGTTGTAAAAGTATACACATCTTACATTTAAAACGTGTATCGTATTTCAATAAAAGGATTTTTAATCGACAATTATCCGTGCTTAAAAAAATGGATCTCATTTTCGGCTACCTTGCTCTATTGCGTTCGAATATTGAAGCTGTAGTGTACGAAGCCACGCAATCAAAAAGTACCTACTGTTGTTTAAAGCATGCGAATAATTCCATCTTTTTTAGAAGATTTCATAACTCGAAAAAAAAATCTCAACGTACACCAGGGTGTCTCGTAACACATAATTGCTAGAAGAAATTTGCAAAAAAAATTAAGTAAGCGTTAAGGTACAATCATTATCAATTTAGTTAGACAATTTTGCCGATTTATGGACCACGTGGTGGTGTGCTACAAAATCCATGAATCACACGTGAGTCCCAAACAGCGTTACCATAAAACCCGTGACCCGTGATATCCACGAAGCGCGTGGCAACGATGAGGATTTGATGGTCTACGATTAGTGGTGTGCGACTACCCGAGATAACGGGCTCGGATGGGCTCGAGAAAAGTCGGGTGGATTCGGACGGGCGTCCATAACATGGACCTGAAGGACGGTGTCATAGTTCTACGGGGGCAGGCCGAAAGACGGAAGGGGGATCGGCTTTCGGTCGCCATGAGAGGGACTACTGGTGGTGTCCTCTACAGCCGAGTATAATTATTAAAAATGGCGTCCTTCATGGCGTCCTTTGTAATAATCCTGGTGACGCTATTGTGTAAAAGCATTGGAGAGCAACTCACGTGTATAGTATTGTATATTATTGTAGTTTTAAGCAAAATAGTAAAAATATTATATTTGAAGGTGACTTTATTTTTGGTGGTTTATATTTGAATTATATTTTTATTTTGGTGGTTTATATTTGAATGTAAATTATTAGTAGCCGGTAATCGATTTCGAAAATGCCGAAGTGCATTGTGCAACGTATTAAGCACGAACGATCAAATTTAAACTATGTTCCGCGAGAAATTGGTACGGCATAGATGGCACTACTAGTCGTCCCTCTCATGGCGGTTGAACGGCTCCTCTCAGCCCCCTAACCGCCCGCCATAAGTGTACTTTATGCACCGTCCTTCAGGTCCATGGTCCATAACATACGAACGCTTGGGTAGTCCGATGCATTCGGACTTTCGGACGAACCGACAAATTCGAGATTCGAGCAGCTTAAGGCCTACTGTCCACTAAGGCGTCTCGTCATAAACGATTCATAGACATTTGACGCTTGCAGGCAGAGACTTTACACTAGAACTACCGACGATAAACGCATATTTGCTTCAATCGATGGATAAACGTGAAAAATTTTTGAAAATTTAGAAATTTAGAAATTAACTAATTTCTTCACTTTCTTATCGTAATAAAACGCGCAAAAGATCTGAAAAAATGTATGGTCATAACATTTTAATCGTATTTTTATAATCGGATATTTATCGTCAGAGGAGAAAAACTCTTGAATCCTGTTCAAATGAAATGGAGTAACGTTTTGGGACATATGAATCATACTCATTCCTGATTCCTGAATATGGAGATGATGCATTTGGTAATGACTAGACTGCGGATTTTTATGCAAAATGACATTTTACAAAGTAATTCCTAGAGACAAGAACAAATTTAGGACGTTCTGTTTTTTCTTAAATATCTTATTGGATTCAAACTAAAATAGAAAACTCGTTGCATCGCATTAAATTTTGTCTTTTAGTATATTTCACAGGACCCCATACACTCTAAACTATAAATGCATAAAATCCGCAGTCTAGATATAACTATAAATTTTTACGGTATGATAATTAAAATTTATGCACATTTCACATGAATATCATAGAGTTTGCATAAAGATCTCAGATCTAGAAATAATTATTTTAAAAAACGGAAATTCTTCATGGAAAAGTGACTCTAAATTTTTCCTTCGTCGATGCACGTCGAACTATCTGATCTTAAGCTGTATAACACTCACTGCAAGAAGTCCTGTCAAAATTCTGTTGGATATGAATCATGCACGCGTTTCATTTTTCGGCTCCGAGAATATGTATACCATCGCAAAAAAGGGAGGTCACGGTCATCGGTAAAAATACTCACTACATTCGAAGAGTCGGCGTATTCAATCTTAAGGAGGTCCATCGCCCGGATCATGGACTGCATGGCCATGAAAATGTTTTGGTATACGAGTTTAATGAAACCCCTCTTGTCATCGTCCGAGTACCCGGATCCGTGGATAATTCTCATTTGTTTAATAAAAGTAGATTTGCCGGATTCACCAGTGCCTGGAACAAAATATACAGCTCGTTAGTGTCGTTTTCTATCATCTGTTTTTTGAATGAAAATTTTATTAAAGTACCAAGGAATTATTATTAACGGCCGTCTTGCGACTTGCCAAGCAAAATTTTTCAACTTCTCGATGGTGCCGTACTGTCGGTACTGGTACAGAACCGGACAAAAGTATTCGTACGCCCTTTAAAACGAAACAACTTTTTTAAATTTGGTCCAAATGACTCGAGTTCTTTTGTGCAGTTAGGGACATTAGTTTACTAAATGATGTGTAAAAAAAAAAGTGAAAAAGTTGTAATTGGTCGAAATCACGAACCAAATTGTTAAGGTCGTTTTTTGCAACTGTTTAATCCGAGGCTATAATGAAAATTTAATAAATACATTTCGAAGATTTATGTTAGTTATATACATACTGAAACTTTTATTGAAATCGGTAGATACAGAAACGAGAGACAGGCATCAAAAGATGTAAGAATTGTTAGATTTACTACAGTTGTAGGTCGAAAGTCTTGAAAAACTGTGATTTTCAACATTATTAATCGTTGGTATCTCGTAGCAGCGTTAACCGATTTTGATGGAATTTTTAACGTGTGTATAACTAACGTAAATCATCGATATGTATTTATTAAATTTTTATTATAGCCTCAGATTGAAAAGTTGTAAAAAACGACGTTTACAATTTTTTTTACACGCCATTTAGGAAACGAATGTCCCTAACTTCACAAAACAACTCAAGTCAGTTGGACCAATTTTAAAGAAGTTTTTCCGTTTTAAAGGGTGTACGAATACTTTTGTCCGGTACTGTAAATATAAAACTCGTGCGCCAATCCACACCAAAAACGCATCTATCTCAAGATTATAAAAATCGTGTACGCGATTTAGTGTAGTGTTTCATGCAGAGATACTAACTGTTATAACCACAATTTAAAAAGTGACAGTATAAGAGTTAATACCTTTGAGTGAATGATTTTGGTTACGAATAACCATTATAAATGATTAAAATTTTGTTTGGTTATCAATAATAATTATCGATGACGGACATTTTTTTTGGTTACAAATAACCATTATTGCCTACGGAAATTATATTAGTTACGAATAACAATTATCGATGACGAGAAGTTTATTTTGGTTACCGATAACCATTAATGACGACAGGAATTTTTTTTATTACGCGATAGCCAATATTCATGACGAGAGTTTTATTTTGGTTACTTTCGACTATCGTCAATTTTTATTAATGTTATTTTTATTAACGTATCTGTATTTTAACTTAAAATATATAAATTTTATAATTTATTTTTCGTTACTGATAGATACATTAATAAAAATAACATTAATCTAAATTGACGACGATTGAAAGTAACTAAAATGAAACTCTCATCATGGATATTGGTTACCGCATAACCAATATACTTTCGTAACCAATATACTTTCCGCAGTCAATAATGTTTACTCACAACCAAAATAAATGTCCGTGATTGATAATTGTTATTGGTGACCAACAAAAATTTTGATCATGTATAATGGTTATTCGTAATCAGAATAGTTACAAATCCAATTTCTTTGAGATTTATTAATATCTGGTTTCCATTTAAATAAACATTACTTTTTATTCAATGACTTTCTTGCAAAAAAAAATTTAATATAACTGTTATTTTTGGTCTCTGGTTTCATGAATCATGAGCGCCAGACAAATTTCCTGTACATGTTAAATTTTGTCTACGACTGTGTAAATTTTTATGAAATTTGACAAGACACTTTTGCCATCACCCACTCTAAGAATCGGATGGCTCTCTTCGTACTGTGCAATTTTGATTCAACAAATATTTCTATGAACCTTATACAGTAAATCCTCGGTGAGTGTTCGAAGGCTTCTCGGCAGTGACAAAGAAAGGTCTCCAGGTGTAACGCTAACTTTTTAATGAGGTTTAGCAGAGTTATAGAACGTGGAATTCTGAAGCCCATGATATTTGTTTCGATCACGAACACTCATCGCGGTTTTACTGTAGTTTCAAAGATATCTGAAGTGGTAATAGTTATTGTCCCACCCTATATATACACGATGCTAAATAGTCTTTTGCTTATGTGTGTATAAAAAGAAATAAATATATAAATATAATTATAATCATAATTGCAATAGTGTAAGATAAGATATAAATATTATTATAAACTTATAAATTTCGTTGATAGAAACAAATCCGTCAATGGAAATCTAAGATATTACGCGAAAGAAATACACGCACAAGCGACTATAATACAATTGTAATTGTATGATAACTTCAAAATTGACCCGCCAACATCGTGATCATGCGATTTGTGTTAGAGTTATTACTGTTGAGATTTTCGAGTGTAAGCCGTGTCCTGGTGTAATTATTTTCCCAACGTTTCGCAAGCATTGCATCTGGCTCCATGAAGGGGTCGAATTACACACTGATATTGATGTGTGCCTTGTAATGATTTACTGATATACTGGAACTTACTCATGTTGTGGTTCATTGTTTACCAATCAAAAGGCATTTTTAATTGTAATTAGAGAATAATTAAACAAAACACAATCATAGTAACCTTAATATTTTACTCTACATTATTACAATTACGAAATAACCAGGTATGTATTTATTTCTTTTTAGATTTAGAGAAGCAAAATACCATTCAGCAGCGTATATGCGTAGACCAGCTCCAACAATAGTCGGACACGCAAAATATATCATTAACAAAAAAATCGAATTCTAAACATGCTTCGCAAATTAATATTTCTTAACTTTTTATTTAAACTTAACTGACAGGTTACAAGTAAAGCCAATAAATGTTAAATGATTGAAAATAGCTTTATAATGTAACACTTTAATCTAACAGATTTTTGTATGAATATTCAGAGTAGTAATGCATACGGTTGTAAGGATTACATCTAGTTGTAAAAATTATTTATGTACATATAACATAACATGTATGAATATAATATAAAATTTTAATATATAAGTGGTAAACATTTATTTTATTCTTTTTAAATGCCCCAAAAATTAATATGTTTCAAGTTTTTATTTTACTGAGAGGTTACAAAGTGAAATTACAAAATAATTAAAAATAAAAAGTAAAACCGCCGCACTGGGATTCGAATTGGGTCTCCTGACTGTTGCTCACGCGCTTAGGTTTCCAGGCATCGCACAGTACTACAGAACGCCTATTTGGGAGTTCAGGAGCTCGATTTGGTTATAAAAATGGGAATTTCGCAACCAAACTTGGTAAGCATGTATTTAATGTTCATATTTATTAAAAGAATACAAAATTATTGTGTAATGTTTTTTTAATAATTTCTTTATAAACAAAATAAAAAAGTTCTTCGTACGGAGTTATTATTGTCAATTACAAGTTCTCTTATATCATTCTCCAAAATTAATGAACTTCTTTCAACATTTTTCCTCTGGATAACGAAGTTGCGGACATTAAACAATCAGAGAATGCTAGTAATGTATGGAACAAATCAGTAATTGTTTCAGTTCAGTACAATTCTTTATAAATTACTATGAACATTAGATGTATTCACCGTGTTCAACATAGCTTTAAAATTCAAAATTATATTGAAAAAAAAAAGTTTATTTGCAAATGTTTTGCAGAAAAGAGGTTTAGCGGTAAATAACTATTGATGACCGCTATTGCCCGACTTGATTTCTGATTTAACTGTTACTTTAATATATTGAATTACGATTAGTTCCATTTTGCGCCTAAACAAAAATACTTTTGTTATAAGTTCTATCAGTCTAGCAAGTATAATATTATATCGAAGTAACAATCACTGATTCTTGTGAAATTTTGTTACAAGGTAATTCTCATCAAAATATTTAACACGTATCTTTTTATATCTGCTACCATCTATACTGAAGGCGTGAAAACAGGCCTCAAAGTTACGGGTGTGAAATAAGCTTGGCTGAATATTTCGGAAACTATTAGAGATACAAAAACGATTTAAATAGCAATATTGTGTGTTTTGTTACAAGGTATTCAGGTATATTATTACACATCAACAAAATTCAGTTGTTGACCAAAAAATTAACAAAAAAGCAGAATTTTTTAATGTATTATTTAAACAAAAGAACTTTTCTGAAATTCTCTGATTGTTTGATATCCACAATTTCGTTATCCAGAAGAAAAATTTTGAAAGAAGTCCATTAATTTTCAAGAATGATATAAGAGAACTTGTAATTGACAATAACTCCGTAAAAAAAAATATATTTTGTTTAAGAAAAAATTATTTAAAAACATTGCTTATTAATTTTGTATTTTATTAATAAATATGAACATTAAATACATGCTTACCAAGTTTGGTTTTGAAATTCCCATTTTTATATTCAAATGAAGCCTCTGAACTCTTAAACCGGCGTTTTGTACCACTGTGCGATACCTCCGCTCCCAACGAAGGTCCGAAAGGGACTCCCGTCAGTGATGCCAGTACCGTGGGAAAACCGCGCGAGCGCTTACCCTCTCCATGCCTCCCGTGGGTATTCCACACAAGCATTTTCTACCTCTGTCCGTGTGCGCTCCGCTTCGAGTGTTCCTCGGCAAAAGTCCTGCGTCACATTTGCAGTGCGACGGCCGAGTGGCCCAAGCCAGGTCAAAAATCACAAGCTACCTATACGTCGAGAACAGCAATGTTTCTCTCACCTGCTCATGACGAAGACCCCGTTTGAATCCCTGTTCAAACCCCGATGCGACGGTTTTACTTTTTATTTTTAATTATCGTGTAATTTCAGTTTGTAACCTGTCAATAAAACAAAAGGTTGAAAAATATTAATTTCAAAAGCATTTTTAAAAAAATGGGAGATGAATTTATTCCTTTTCAATATTTAAATTTGTGATTACACGAACGCGTTTTCTCTTCTATATACACAAATTATTCTTACAATTAGATGTTACCTTTATTCTAATTATTACAGTACGTACATATGAAAATATTCGCAGAAAAATCCAGTACATTAATATGTTACGTTATAAAAATATC